TGATGATTATGGCTACGATTATGATTATGACGATTAGAATGAGGACGTCGACGACGATTATGATGATGATTCTGATGACGAGTATGATGATTATGGCTACGATTATGATTATGTTGATTAGAATGAGGACGTCGACGATGATTATGATGATGATGCTGATTACGAGTATGATGATTATGGCTACGATTATGATTATGTTGATTAGAATGAGGACGATTATGATGATGATGCTGATGACGAGTACGATGATTATGACTACGATTATGATTATGATGATTATACTGACGATGCCGACGATTATAATTTTGGCTACGATTATGATTATGATTATGATTATGACGACGCCGACGATGATGATTATGGCTACGATTATGATTATGTTGATTATAATGACAAGGACGATGATGACGACGATAATGATAACGATGATGATGATGGAGGTGGTGATGATGATTATTATAATAGTGGTGGTGGTAGTGGTGATAATGCTTATGATGATGACGACGGCGATGCTGCTGCCGCTGCTGATAGTGAATACGATGATGATGATACTGGTACTAATGAGGATACAAACATAATAATAATATTAATTTGTATTATTAAGACTCCGAATATTTTAAGCTGTTAAAAAGAAGTGTAATTCAGATGCCTTATTCATGAGAACCTCCTCTTCCTGAGGCGGTATCGAAACCTTGACTCTGTGTCGCTTATTGCCATTGGAATGCGTCGCGCTTCGTGGATTGTGTGTCCAGCAAGACTGGACACTTTAGTCTCTCCAGAATACCTGTTCTCGGGTTGGTAAGGATGCAACTCTACTGTATCACCCTCGAAGGTGGCCTCTTTCGTATGGCCCGATTGTGTTCCCGTCGAGCGGTTGCGACCTCGACGTCTGGCGCCGAGTCCTGGTCGACTCAGTCCAATCTGAGGGTCAATTCGGCATGCTTTTGGAGGACTCAACTGCCTTTTCCGGCCGTTTCCAGCCCCCATTCCGTTCGCATTGCTCCTCTTGCCTCGTCCAGTGCCTGTAGGCGAAGAGGCGGAAGGTCAACGCTTCTGTTGAAGGCATCAAGTCACACAAAGTTCTCCTCCACTCCTTCTCCGGTTCCCAATCCTGTGCCGGCCAGCTGGATCCAGACACTGTCGCAACTGAGGTCGCATCTGCCCTTTTTTCTGACCCGACGCAAACTACGTCGATCTGACCTGTCCACGATCGGACCGACTGGAACAACTGGACAAACTGACAATTCATTAAATTCGCCTCAACTTAGCTTGTGCTGCGCGAGTGAAAATGGAAATTGTTTTTACTTTTTCATTCTCTGACATGCCGTTACGGTACCAGCATCGAGTGTACTTTGTAGATATTTTGCTTCACTTCAATATCAGGCTCTGCTTTAACCGCGTTTTTGCCTCTTAACGAGCATCCAACAACCGGTTGTCAAGCTGTTCAGTCTAGCCTCGACGTCTGCAGTGTTGTCCACGACATTCACCTTTACTTGTGTTGGTCCGTTGTCTCACCCTTACACCAACCATCTCTCCTATTCACTACACTACACTTCACTACACTAAACTAAACTAAACTAAACTAAACTAAACTAAACTAAACTAAACTAAAC